GGAAGAATGTCCCTTACATTGGCGGTCAGTGGGAAGAATGTCCCTTACATTGGTCGTCAGTGGGAAGAATGTCCCTTACATTGGTGATCAGTGGAAAGAATGTCCCTTAAATTGGCAGTCAGTGGGAAGAATGTCCCTTACATTGGGGGTCAGTGGGAAGAATGCTTCTTAAATTGGGGGTCAGTGGGAAGAATGTCCCTTACATTGGGGGTCAGTGGGAAGAATGCTTCTTAAATTGGGGGTCAGTGGGAAGAATGCTTCTTAAATTGGGGGTCAGTGGGAAGAATGCTCCTTAAATTGGAGGTCAGTGGGAAGAATGCTCCTTACATTGGTGGTCAGTGGGAAGAATGCTCCTTAAATTGGGAGATAGTGAGAAGAATGTCCCTTACATTGGTGGTCAGTGGGAAAAATGCCCCTTACATTGGGGGTCAGTGGGAAGAATGTCCCTTAAATTGGTGGTTAGTGGGAAGAATGCTCCTTAAATTGGTGATCAGTGGGAAGAATGCTCCTTACATTGGGAGTTAGTGAGAAGAATGTCCCTTACATTGGTGGTCAGTGGGAAAAGTGCCCCTTACATTGGTGATCAGTGGGAAGAATGCCCCTTACATTGGGGGTCAGTGGGAAGAATGTCCCTTACATTGGTGATCAGTGGGAAGAATGCCCTTTACATTGGTAGTCACTTGGAGGAATGCTCCTTACATTGGGGGTCAGTGGGAAGAAAGCTCCTTACATTGGGGGTCAGTGGGAAGAAAGCTCCTTACATTGGTGGATAGATAGATAGATAGATAGATAGATAGATAGATAGATAATACATAGATAGATGATAGATAGATAGATAGATAATAGATAATAGATAGATAGATAGATAATAGATAATAGATAGATAGATAGATAGATAATAGATAATAGATAGATAGATAATAGATAGATAGATAATAGATAGATAGATGATAGATAGATAGAAAAATAGATAGATAGATAATAGATAGATAGATAATAGATAGATAGATAATAGATAGATAGATAATAGATAGATAGATAGATAATAGATAGATGATAGATGATAGATAGATAGATAGATAGATAATAGATAGATAGATAGATAATAGATAGATAGATAGACAATTGGATGGATGGATAGATGGATAGATGGATAGATAGATAGATGATAGATAGATAATAGATAATAGATAGATAGATAGATAATAGATAGATGATAGATAGATAGATAATAGATAGATAGATAGACAATTGGATGGATGGATAGATGGATAGATGGATAGATAGATAGATGATAGATAGATAATAGATAGATAGATAGATAGATATAGTGGTGTGACCCTCCTGCGCTCCAAATATTGTGTTTAAACAATTAAACAAATTAAATATATGAACCCCAAACAGCTGCTAGCATTAAATCATATACCAGTGATCAAGTGAATATAAACCATATAAATGCTGCGCTACATTCAAATTAAAGTGAATGTGGAATCCAATGACACAAATCCAATATAGTGACAATAATAAAGAAATAAATATATAAGTGCTTGATGATAACAAAAATAATCAAATCAAACACCCAAAAGATGAAAAAACAAAAACTTAAATCTATACGCATGTGCATAAATTACACATACATATAGTTACATCACACGTGCAAATGTGAAGTGAAATAATATTTACTTATTAAGCGCAAAAAAAGTCCAATATATAAATGTTAAAAGTGAAAAAATGTAAACGGTGTTTCCAATAATACTATAAAGTGACCACAGGTGAAACAAAACGTGCAGGTATCTGAGTGTAGATAGAACTTGTGAATCCAACCACCTTCTGGATTAGCCTCTCACCTCATCACTTCGACCCTTGCGGATCAAAGAGCAATAATGGATCCCTCTCACAGATCCTCCAGGCACCGCAGCACTCCAGAAACGCTTTTCAGAATTCAATATTCCCACTCAAACTCTTCTCCAGGTATAGATGAAATATCAATCTCGCCAGTGCGGAGTCCAAGCTGCGGCTGTCAGTGAGGGCCCTCACTGACAGCCGCAGCTTGGACTCCGCACTGGCGAGATTGATATTTCATCTATACCTGGAGAAGAGTTTGAGTGGGAATATTGAATTCTGAAAAGCGTTTCTGGAGTGCTGTGGTGCCTGGAGGATCTGTGAGAGGGATCCATTATTGCTCTTTGATCCGCAAGGGTCGAAGTGATGAGGTGAGAGGCTAATCCAGAAGGTGGTTGGATTCACAAGTTCTATCTACACTCAGATACCTGCACGTTTTGTTTCACCTGTGGTCACTTTATAGTATTATTGGAAACACCGTTTACATTTTTTCACTTTTAACATTTATATATTGGACTTTTTTTGCGCTTAATAAGTAAATATTATTTCACTTCACATTTGCACGTGTGATGTAACTATATGTATGTGTAATTTATGCACATGCGTATAGATTTAAGTTTTTGTTTTTTCATCTTTTGGGTGTTTGATTTGATTATTTTTGTTATCATCAAGCACTTATATATTTATTTCTTTATTATTGTCACTATATTGGATTTGTGTCATTGGATTCCACATTCACTTTAATTTGAATGTAGCGCAGCATTTATATGGTTTAGATAGATAGATAGACAATTGGATGGATGGATGGATAGATAGATAGATAGATAGATAGATAGATAGATAGATAGATAGATAGATAGATAGATAGATAATAAATAGATAGATAGATAGATGGATAGATAGATTATTTTTTTGTCTGGAGCCATTCGCATTGTTTTCTCCAGGAAAGGAACACATTTCAGTCTTGTATTATTCTTTACTTACCTTTTCTAACGAGATACATAACAGCTTTCCGGCTGCCATTTGACTTTGAGAGTCACTTTGTATAAACAGCTTCAGTCCTACAGCCAGTGTGGAACTACAAATGACACCAAAGCCTTCCTCCAACTTTTATGATAGTAGGCGCCACACACCTCGGAGGTATGAAGGGTTAATCTTGGCGCCCTTTAATTTCCTCCATTAACAAAAAGTGCCGACGTTATCACATAATTATATACATTAGTGTTCTGGCTGTTGGCAAGGAGATGGGGAGTCGGGAAGTGATTCTGGTTATATAAGAAGCTCCCATGCTTCCGCTCGCTCAACATTTTCTGCTCTCAAGGATAGAAGGACAATGACACTAATCAGTGGCAGAAGATCTGGAATTATGTCAAAAAATAAAGACACCGCCTGGAATTTGCAACAATCAGAGGCAAACATATTTTGTGTAACGAGAACGAAATGTTTTTTTTGTGTAAGGAAAAACTTGTGGCAAAAGAGATTTTTATATGAGCCGTAATGAAATCCCAGCGGAGTTCCCGGCTCCCCAGTCAACATCTTAGAGGACATCTTGCATCCTTTACAGGTCTCCAATTTACGGATGTACATATCAGCAAACATTAATATTCATATCCATCTTTCTACATTTGGAAAACAAGGAGTACAAAATATTCATGTTTTATATTTGTATTACTTGCAAATGTATACCTGATCTAGAGTGGGCAAGTCTAAAATATTATAGACAATGCCGAGGAATTAATTTACACACACGAGTTTCAGGAAGAAGTTGAAAAAATGATGTACAAAGTTTTAGTCCAAACTCTGGACAATAACACTGACAGTGGGCAGTGTGTACAGGAGAAGAGTGTGGGGGGTATGACAGTGGGTGGTATGTACAGGAGAAGAGTGTGGGGGGTATGACAGTGGGTGGTATGTACAGGAGAAGAGTGTGGGGGGTATGACAGTGGGTGGTATGTACAGGAGAAGAGTGTGGGGGGTATGACAGTGGGCAGTATGTACAGGAGAGGAGTGTGGGGGGTATGACAGTGGGCAGTATGTACAGGAGAGGAGTGTGGAGGGGATGACAGTGGAGGGTATGACAGTGGGCAGTATGTACAGGAGAGGAGTGTGGAGGTATGACAGTGGGCGGTATGTACAGGAGAGGAGTGTGGAGGGTATGACAGTGGGCAGTATGTACAGGAGAGGAGTGTGGAGGGTATGACAGTGGGCAGTATGTACAGGAGAGGAGTGTGGAGGGTATGACAGTGGGCAGTATGTACAGGAGAGGAGTGTGGAAGGTATGACAGTGGGCAGTATGTACAGGAGAGGAGTGTGGGGGTATGACAGTGGGCAGTATGTACAGGAGAGGAGTGTGGAGGGTATGACAGTGGGCGGTATGTACAGGAGAGGAGTGTGGAGGGTATGACAGTGGGCGGTATGTACAGGAGAGGAGTGTGGAGGGTATGACAGTGGGCAGTATGTACAGGAGAGGAGTGTGGAGGGTATGACAGTGGGCAGTATGTACAGGAGAGGAGTGTGGAGGGTATGACAGTGGGCAGTATGTACAGGAGAGGAGTGTGGAGGGTATGACAGTGGGCAGTATGTACAGGAGAGGAGTGTGGAAGGTATGACAGTGGGCAGTATGTACAGGAGAGGAGTGTGGGGGTATGACAGTGGGCAGTATGTACAGGAGAGGAGTGTGGAGGGTATGACAGTGGGCGGTATGTACAGGAGAGGAGTGTGGAGGGTATGACAGTGGGCGGTATGTACAGGAGAGGAGTGTGGAGGGTATGACAGTGGGCGGTATGTACAGGAGAGGAGTGTGGAGGGTATGACAGTGGGCAGTATGTACAGGAGAGGAGTGTGGAGGGTATGACAGTGGGCAGTATGTACAGGAGAGGAGTGTGGAGGGTATGACAGTGGGCGGTATGTACAGGAGAGGAGTGTGGAGGGTATGACAGTGGGCGGTATGTACAGGAGAGGAGTGTGGAGGGTATGACAGTGGGCGGTATGTACAGGAGAGGAGTGTGGAGGGTATGACAGTGGGCAGTATGTACAGGAGAGGAGTGTGGAGGGTATGACAGTGGGCAGTATGTACAGGAGAGGAGTGTGGGGGGTATGACAGTGGGCAGTATGTACAGGAGAGGAGTGTGGGGGTATGACAGTGGGCAGTATGTACAGGAGAGGAGTGTGGGGGTATGACAGTGGGCAGTATGTACAGGAGAGGAGTGTGGGGGGTATGACAGCCAGAATTATATCCAACACAACAAACACTTTTCTCCTGCGCTAGGAAAGGACTCAGTAGACCCAATAGGAATGTTCTGGAATTTTCTGGAATATGCACTGCTTGCTGCCCTCAACAGACTGAGGTGGTCCGAATACACTGGATACAAATGGAGAAACAGAAAAAGGGCGCACCGACCTAGTGCATTATCATTTAAAATAATTTATTAAAGAAACAAAAATAGGTATCATACTCACAATGGACATAATAACACAGGCATGTCAAACTGAACAAGGTGTATGATCCAAACAACATCTGAGTCCATACGATGGAACCCTGGATGACCAACTTTCTAACGCGTTTCGAGGACACAACCTCTTCCTCAGAGCCCTGGGCCTCAAACCGCGTTAGACAGTTGGTCATCCAGGGTTCCATCGTATGGACTCAGATGTTGTTTGGATCATACACCTTGTTCAGTTTGACATGCCTGTGTTATTATGTCCATTGTGAGTATGATACCTATTTTTGTTTCTTTAATAAATTATTTTAAATGATAATGCACTAGGTCGGTGCGCCCTTTTTCTGTTTCCCCATTTGTAGCCAGAATTATATGCAGGCACCGAGA